TGCAGGAATACTGATAGCATCACATATTTTTGATGACATTTATTTTGCAATTGTGCTAATCAAGCAAAAGTTTATTTTCCTATTGGAGGCAGGCACTAGCAGTGTTATTGGTGGCTTGAACTGAGGGAACAGGCTCCACTGCTGAAAAAATTCTATTAAAAGCACTAGTTTTAATGCCTCCCAATCCTTCCTGTTGTCCATGCACCTGGTACCACCACTGAGTGCAGACATAATAAGCTATTAATATACCGGTATTGGATTAATAGTTAGTTATAACTGTAGGCTCTTTGTAATGAACAGCAGCTACAGCAAGTATATATGAACTGGTTGAACCATTTTAATGAGTATTGATTTACTCAAACTTTTAGGGAAAAACTTAAAAGTAGGAAATATATAGGGTCCCTGTATGAACTTAAATAATCTACCAAGAATACTAGCGGTGATAATGACATTGTACAATGTATATAGGTCTATACTACTGCATGGGCATCCTCCAAACCCGCAAAGCTCACCCAGCCCCTTCACTACCAAATCAAGTAATTCTAAACTAACACGCAATAATACTTACTAGATCATAAGTAGCCATTCCAAGTTAAAGATCTAGAGAGTGAGTCGCCTTTATAATAGATGTCTCTGTACCAGTTTTCAGTAAATCTGATGATAAAGCGCATTTAAGGCATTTTTATAGACGCTGCTGTAAGTGGGTGTGGCCTAACCACGTGAATACACGTGTGTCAATTGTGCTGGCAGCTGTTGTGTGTGTTGAAGACTTCATGTGATATGATCCTCTGGAGACTTAACAATAATACTCAGTGTCAGTCTCTGATCCATTGGAATGAATCTACTATTCAACAATCATGACCTCTCTATTAGGAGTTAGTTAGGAGCCATTTTACACACGTGGTAGCACCTGGGCCAAGTGGGCAGGGACTTGTAGGCGTGGCTTGGCTTAAGAAATGTGGGGAGTGTAGAAGCTCAATGAAGTACATCAAGTAAATATGAACCAGTTACTGATAATTTACACACTGTGTATGTTAGGATCAGAAGCAACACTGAACACCTCCTCCTGCTAAACCAGGACCAGAGAAAAGAAAGGTACGAATGTATAGACCCCTTTCGGCGAGAAGTAGCAGCTTGTGAATATCATTAATTTTGCAATGAATATCATTATATCTCAGTTACGGTATACGCCCACATACAATAATTGGCCGCCATGTTTTACGTCAAGCAGCAAGTGCTTTCTGTGTCCTGGAGATCTTGGTCACTACATTTTGAAGCTAAAAACTATTCTAGAGTCAAGAAAGATGCTAAGAGAGCCAACCTAGGAAGTATAGTGCAATACTCTTGTTGTATGAGCCTGCTTTCCTCTTTGGGCTGTGACAGAGAGTCAAGAACTGATCGTTCTGGCTCTCCCAGACTTCTTAAATCTTCAAAATATCTTGCTATAGTAAAGAACAGTTGATATGAAGCCTCTCATAGTCCTGAGTTCAGCACAACAAAAGTTTTATTGGCAAAACAGCTCTACTTTGCACACCAGCCATTGGAATTCTGCATAACTTTGACGTAAAACATGGCGGACAAAAATCCATTCAATATTATTTCTTTGTATATACGGTATCACAAACTAATTCTCGCCTAAAGGGGTCTATTTTATGTTGTTTTATTACTATTATGCACTATTAGGCCACTCCAACTAAATTCGTAGTTTCTCCTTGCCACCCGCTCCCCTGCGCCGATATTTTAATTATTTGATTAAAATATTAAAAATAATACATAATAACGTAAAAATACGAGTCTTTTGAGGTTCTTTTCACTCTTTTT